GTAATGATTTTTTTATGGGAATTTATGAACACTGTGCTGAAGTTTTGTATTAATATTTTCTTATCTTGTTTCATTATTTTAGCTTATTGCAAATCAACTGGCTTTTGTGGGTTATTCATTTTTAAAGGATGATATTTAAATGCACATAAAAGTTTCATAACTAAAGAAAAATAACAATGGCACCTTACCAAAATTACTGATTAATCCTAGAAAAAGGTGAATTTAAGAAAAATAAACGTTGATTCAAGAAAATTATTTAATTCAACAAATTGATTACCACATATATTAAGAGAACATTGAGAATATTACTGGTTAAATTCAGAGTTTATAACATGGGTGAGGAACAGTTATTATTCACTCCATATTTTTTTTTACTATTTTATCTTTGGTTCTGTATGAAATGTTAATATTTCAGTAAGTTTTGTTCTCTAAACATAGGTAGTCTCCAGAATAGTCTTTTACTATATTTTCTTTCCATCTTTTTTGTAATATAAAATCACTTTTTTTCAAGGTATGACTGCACATAGCTTTGTTATGGTTTATTTTATGCAGCACACTCTTATATATAAGTTACCAAAAATGATATTAGAAATAGCAAATAGGGAAAAATCATGTCCATAAGAAAGGTGAAAAAGTTTGACAGATTGATTGTATTGATAGAAAAGAGAAAATGCAAATTTACATTATTATTTTTGAACATCATTTCAAAGTATAGTAAATAGAGCATACAGCCAAAAGAATTGTATTTCCCATTATAGTAAGTACAATAAGTACATACTGAGAGAGAATCAGCTAATGATACCAGAGATATAAATATTATGAAAAAATAAAAAATCTAATGATAAATCAATAAAATAACATCCAAACAGTAAGTATATCCTAATATGAAATGCTTGCCACCTACTCGAAGCTGCCATTATCATGTAAGTAAAATTAGAGATGATTTTGATGTGATTTGATGGATGCAGATGTCAGAGCACATTTTGCCATAGATAGTCAGTATTTCATTGTAAGTGAAGATTTTTTTTTTTTTTTTATTGATTACTATTATGTTATTATCTTTTAACATGTTTTTGGTGCAATGTTTTTTGACATCAACTACTTGCTCCAGGCACTGTTTAGCAACCTTAACAAAAGAAATATATATATATATATTTACAGACCTTTTCTTATGATGTGACATTGGTAAAATAGACCTTGCTAGAATTCATCCATATAATTTTAGCCAAAGAATTATCTCTCAAATTAACCTCCTTGGGACAGATAATGCTAAGTAATTGTCACTTGACGTTTTAATCTCACTTTATTGTTTCAAAATTAAAATCTTATAGTTCATTACCAGATTTCAGTACCCATTTCTTAGTTCATGTTCTCTGTGCCTGATAAAAGAAATTTATATTACCATAGCCTATAGAAATTTGATTTGATATATATTTTCTTTCTATCTTTTTTGTAATATAAAATCACTTTTTTTCAAGGTATGACTGCACATAGCTTTGTTATGGTTTATTTTATGCAGCACACTCTTATAGATAAGTTACAAAAATGATATTAGAAATAGCAAATAGGGAAAAATCATGTCCATAAGAAAGGTGAAAAAGTTTGACAGATTGATTGTATTGATAGAAAAGAGAAAATGCAAATTTACATTATTATTTTTGAACATCATTTCAAAGTATAGTAAATAGAGCATACAGCCAAAAGAATTGTATTTCCCATTATAGTAAGTACAATAAGTACATACTGAGAGAGAATCAGCTAATGATACCAGAGATATAAATATTATGAAAAAATAAAAAATCTAATGATAAATCAATAAAATAACATCCAAACAGTAAGTATATCCTAATATGAAATGCTTGCCACCTACTCGAAGCTGCCATTATCATGTAAGTAAAATTAGAGATGATTTTGATGTGATTTGATGGATGCAGATGTCAGAGCACATTTTGCCATAGATAGTCAGTATTTCATTGTAAGTGAAGATTTTTTTGTTTTTTTATATATTTCAGAGAAAAAGCTATGTAGCTTTTTTTACACAGTTATTTGCCTTGATTTTTTTTTTTTTTTTTTTTTTTTTTTTTTTTTTTTTTTTTTTTTTTTTTTTTTTTTTTTACTATATTTTCTTTCTATCTTTTTTGTAATATAAAATCACTTTTTTTCAAGGTATGACTGCACATAGCTTTGTTATGGTTTATTTTATGCAGCACACTCTTATAGATAAGTTACAAAAATGATATTAGAAATAGCAAATAGGGAAAAATCATGTCCATAAGAAAGGTGAAAAAGTTTGACAGATTGATTGTATTGATAGAAAAGAGAAAATGCAAATTTACATTATTATTTTTGAACATCATTTTAAAGTATAGTAAATAGAGCATACAGCCAAAAGAATTGCATTTCCCATTATATTAAGTACAATAAGTACATACTGAGAGAGAATCAGCTAATGATACCAGAGATATAAATATTATGAAAAAATAAAAAATCTAATGATAAATCAATAAAATAACATCCAAACAGTAAGTATATCCTAATATGAAATGCTTGCCACCTACTCGAAGCTGCCATTATCATGTAAGTAAAATTAGAGATGATTTTGATGTGATTTGATGGATGCAGATGTCAGAGCACATTTTGCCATAGATAGTCAGTATTTCATTGTAAGTGAAGATTTTTTTGTTTTTTTATATATTTATATTATTATCTTATGACCTCAATCAAACTTTTGACTTTTCTCTTTTTTGTACATTTTGTATTATTTTTAAATTTATGGTGTTTTTTTTCTCTCTCTACCTTTCATTCTATCATTTTGTGTATGTTAACATATCATTTTACATATTATTATTTTTTCCTTCTTTTTTTAGCCAAATTTTAAGCATACTGTTTTTGATAGAGATACTACAGTCACATTTTTTTAATAGTTGATAAAACTTGATATGATTCCATATGGTAGCCTCTTGTAGAGGACTTTATATATTGCCTAAATGTTATATTTCTTTTGTATCTCCACTCACTCTCAAAGGAATGGTTTTCTTCATATTTGAATAAATCACTTTCCATAGATAATTTTACCATGAAATGCATTTATGTGCTAATATATATAGTCAGATTTTTTTTTTGCAGTTTATACCTACTATAATCTTTTCTTTCTTATAAACGTAAGGAGGACTATACTTATTAACTTTCATTATTTACTTTTACTATTTTCTGACTTTATTAATCAGATGGTCTGTCTTATAGTTAATCTTGACTGGTGTTAGTCTAAGGAATTTGTTATAGATGTGGACTATATTGGTTTACATTATGAATTCCCATTGCCAGGGCTGGTTAGTTCCATAGGCTATTGTCCTTTACATTGATTATATATCACTGTCTTTAGATTGTTATTTTTCTATGGGAAGAAACATATATTTTTATATATTTCAGAGAAAAAGCTATGTAGCTTTTTTTTACACAGTTATTTACCTTGATTTTTTTTTTATTGATTACTATTATGTTATTATCTTTTAACATGTTTTTGGTGCAATGTTTTTTGACATCAACTACTTGCTCCAGGCACTGTTTAGCAACCTTAACAAAAGAAATATATATATATATATTTACAGACCTTTTCTTATGATGTGACATTGGTAAAATAGACCTTGCTAGAATTCATCCATATAATTTTAGCCAAAGAATTATCTCTCAAATTAACCTCCTTGGGACAGATAATGCTAAGTAATTGTCACTTGACAGTTTTAATCTCACTTTATTGTTTCAAAATTAAAATCTTATAGTTCATTACCAGATTTCAGTACCCATTTCTTAGTTCATGTTCTCTGTGCCTGATAAAAGAAATTTATATTACCATAGCCTATAGAAATTTGATTTGATATATATTTTCTTCTATTTGGAATTTTTGTACTTATTACCAATTGTTTTGGGGAAATGATCCCAATGGGGTTAATTATAGTTTCTTTCTTAATAGATTTAAGATGACCAATTACAAAAGAAATGATTGTACATGGCTCCTTTTAGAGTTAATAATTAACTATAGTTCACGTGGTTTAAGGTTTTCCTCTCCAGAATTTACAGAAAATGCTAATGTCTTTTACCTGATTTATTTGCAAAAAGTTATGAATACCTTTATAATAGCCTAAAAGGAGCCACCATACCCATGTAAGACACAGGGAAAGATTTTCTTACCAAACCTTTACCAATACCCGCAGATTGCAGAGTTTAGAAGAGTAAGTTTGCATCAGAACCTGTGGTGCAATTTGTCCTCTCCTCTTGTTCCTGTATTCTTCTGTTAAACAAGTTTAAGTTAACAGTAGTATCAATGCCCCTTCCCTTTTTTATCGTTATTTTCATTTTGGTATTGCACTGTTCTTTTTTGTGTCTTTAAATATGTTACTTTTGCTTTATATATATGTTTTCTTTTTCTTTTTCTTTTTCTTTTTTTTCCTTACTTTTTCTAGTTTTGTTTAATTGGTTGTCTCTTTCCATATAAGGATGGTTCCTCCCAAATCGAAAACCAACCTTCACATCAATAGTAAAAGATTAAATTCTATCATACTTTTGAGTGTTTAAGATTGACGGTCCTGACTATTATTTGATTAGTGTAATACTCTCTTTTTGACTTTTTATTGATAGCTATCAGAAAACACATAAACATAGAGCTTATTATGTTCCATATGACTACAAGGTAATTAGTCTTAGAAGAGAACAAATCTGGAAATAGTAGTTCTAATCTTTTACATCTGTAAAAGGGATAATTTCTTAGATCTTTATGAGTATTTAGAAAATTTTCTAGATATATTTTGGGGAGATACATCTGTAAAAAAAAAAAATTCTATATATTTTTCTTATTATAGTTTATAAAAAAAGTAAACTTTTCAGTTTCAAAAGCCACACTCTGTGTTTAATTGTGTTGGTGCTATTTTAATTTTTTTCTATCTTTTCCTCTTTATTTAAACATTTCCCATCTTTAGTTGTGACAAATGATCTTTCCCCTCTTA